ACTAAAAACATTATTACAAAACTCTATATATTATTTTTTGACCGTTAGTAATTACATTATTTTAATTGGTCATCTTTCCAAAATGGAAAAAAGTTATGGTTATCAGCGAAAAAAAAACAAGTGTTTTTTAAAACAATGGAATTCATAAATTCCCTTTGTTTTCTTTTAATTTGATTGGCCAAGAACTTGGCTTTTTTTTTTTTCGGTGAACTGGAATCACAAATTATGCAAGAAATTGCAAGAAATCGTGGCAAATTAACTCCGAAAATCTTTTGGTCTAGTTCATTCTTAGATTTGTAATGTAGTACCCTAAGACTCTATGAATAAATAAACTTGGGTTAAATTCCTGAGTCAGACCTAAGTCAGACCTGTGTTAAACGCCGAATAAAATATATGTGGAGTCAATGAGAATGTTACACTTCATAACTCTGTAACTGTTATATCTGTTCTAATAATATTGCGTATTTTATAGGTTAACTTGTATCAAACATTATTACACATATTATTATCATTATAAACCAATACACTTTATGAAAAAGTATGAAAAGGTTATAGTGATTGGTAGTGTAACCTTCTAAACATAGAAAGTTCTTTGTTAAATAATCAAAAGATTTTTTTTTTGTTACTTTTCCTTTGTCGTAACCTTGCATCACACCCTGCCCTTATATTAATAACTCGGGCTCTTTATCTTATTTTGTTTAAATGTTTATATTTGGATTTATAGTTTCATTAGAATGTATATATGTTAATTGATATGATTTATATTACCATATATATATTAATGAAATCATTCATATCAATAATAATTATAATAATAATATCTAATATAATATCTAATATAATATCTAATATAATATCTAATATAATATCTAATATAATATCTAATATAATATCTAATATATAATTTAATATAATACAGTATACGTAATTTTAATTATATAATTTTAAATGCACGTTTTTTTTTTTATACTGTTAATTTGAGTTTATTTTAATGTATGCAGTTATTTAACGCATTCACTATATATTTAACTCAGCCCCTTTTTTTAAATATATATAAACCCCCATTGCCCTAGTCTTTTTTCTTTACAGTTTTTTCGAGAAAATTTTTTTTGAAAAAAAAAATATCGAAAGGAATTTCTTCTTTTCTTAGTAACAAAAAATATTAATAACTTTTTTTAGCGCGCGTATATCGCATACACAGCTTCACAATTTTACAATAATTCTTTCTTCAAAAAAAATGACATTTCAAATGACGAAACCAACACTTATCGACATTCTCAACAATGAAACATCATATCCGTATTCGCTTGATGATTTTGCTACATTTCTAGATCAAACATTTTGTCTTGAAAATCTAGAATTCTGGTTAGCCGTTCGTCAATACAAATATTATACATATAATTTTTACAATTCACCCGATCTCTTGACACCAAATTCATCATCATTATCGCTTCCAACGTCAGATATTCTTTACGATGATGCATCTTTACGTGGAGATGCACCAGCACATTCAGAATTTCTTAAACAAAAGCTTCACAAAATTATTGAAACTTTTATTTTACCACATTCACCAAAAGAAATTAATATTGAAGCATCAGTTCGTGACGATTTATTAACAAATGTTTTCACATATAATAATTACGATTCATCAATATTGGATGTTGTTAGTAATCAAATTTTTGAATTGATGCAAGAATCTAGTTTTGCTCAATTCTTGATTGAAGCTGGACATCTTGAATTAAGATTATCAAGTGAAAGCGAAAGTTGTCAAGAAGATTGTTCGGAACCATCAAGTCCAGGTGACCAACTTTTTAGCAAAGGTGTCTTCCGAAATAATCTAAAGGGTATTCGAGGGAAACAAAAATTCAGTGGGTTAAAGTTAAAAGAGAAATATAAAAAATTATTAAATTCAAAAGCTTAAATAGCTGGTATTGGGTTGGGAGGTTTTATTAATCAAATTTTTAGCATACAAAAAAAAAAAAAAAAAAAGAAAAAAAAAAGCATGCATTCATCATTTGTAATATACAGCAATTTTTTTTTTTTGTACAGAACATAGACTTGGGTTTCGTAATATCGGTAATATCGTAATATCGTAATATCGTAATATTACACACCCTTATTATTCTCTTTATTATTTCCTCTATTATTTCCTCTCTATTATTTTCGCTATTATATCTTTTATACCTTTTATACGTATCTAATATCCCGATATCTATCAATACTTTAAATAACGAATTAACATGAATAACAAATATCACCACAAAAAATAACATAAGCATTTTTTTTCCTTTAAGCAATTTAAAATAAGCAACATAGAACCGATTTTATTCCTTTTTTTTTTTACAATTTATACAGTATAGACTTTTTTCTCTTTTGAAAAGATGACCAATTAAAATAATGTAATTACTAACGGTCAAAAAATAATATATAGAGTTTTGTAATAATGTTTTTAGT